CCTGGAACTAGCTCTTGTAGACCAGGCTGTCCTTGAACTCACTCCTCTGCCTCCCAAGTGCTGGGATTAAAGGTGATTCAGTGAGTGCCTAAAGCCGTGGGAGGCCAAGCCTTGTGTATGCTGTGGTTTTTCCTCTTCACACATCTCTGCAATAAAGTTTAAGTTACAAATTGGCTGCAGAAGAACCCAACACCACAATAAGGCAGAATAACAAGAGGACACCATGGCAGATAATGGGCAATGTATCCAAAACGAACCAAAGTCAGAAAGAAGGGTCCCATCCTGAGTAGGATGAGGATGGCGTGAGATCTTTCTGTGGTCCTCAGAATACCGTGGAGATGGGGGTAAAACTGGCAGGCTGTTTATTTCTGGAACTTACTACTTAATATTTTTGGGGGTAGCTAAAAGCATAATAAGCTAAATCAGGGACACAAAGGGGCTACTGCAAAGTCACATGTATGGCCGCATGGGATCCATGGCAGGATCTGCTAAGGGTCGGGGAAAGAAAAAAGAATGAAAGACGATCGGAAACGGCTGAGGGAAGTAAATAAAGCTGTGTGCCTTGTTTCTGTCTGTACATGAAGAAAGCTAGCTTCCGGGCTTCATGACAGGCTGGAGTTCAGAGGGTCTGCCCCGAGTAAAGGCGGGTAGATAAGGCGACAAACCAGACCAAAGGCAGACCTGCCTACCTTGGTCTCTGCCTACCCGCATCTGCCTACCCGCCCACTGCCCACTGATTGGGAGGTGCAAGAGGAACTACTGCCCAGGGCTTCCCTGGGACAGAATCAGGCAGGACCCCCAAAGACTGGGGGAGGGACTGAGAAAGGACTGGGAGAAAGAGTCCATAATCTAAGCCTCTGTGGGGGCGGGGGAAGGGGGGAGTTCCTAGGCCAAGGAAATGGAAGCACCCAGAACACAGTCCAGAGACATATCAACATGCCTGACCCAGCCACTGTCGAGGCTACAATGCCTTGTCTGGGGCAGTTCCCCCATGAGGCCAACCAGACCAAGACTGTAACTACCTCTGAGCTGGAGCCAGTTCCAATACAGAGCAGCAAAGAAGGATTGCTGCCCAGGAACCAGAAATGAGGCTTCCCAGCAAATATCCACAGGTCCTTCAAGGCCCATCCAGAGTGGAAGGGCTGATCCACCCCGCTATGCAGACCTAAGGCCTGTGCATAGCCCGGTTGTGTTCCCTCTCCTATGTGGAAAAGTCAACTAAACGGGCAGAACATGGCTCAAGGTTGTGTGCCTCCGATGGCCGGTCCTGCCTGCTCACCCTCAGACCCTGGACGGTTGCCCCACTTTTATCCAGAAATGTATCGAATGATGTTTGTGCCTGGCACAAGGCCAGAGCACCAGCCCCCACAGCAGGTAGACAGGATGGTCTAGCTAACTCAGGAGAAACATTGGGGCAGAATCCTCTGATTGTCCTGACCCAGCCCTGCTGGACTCCAGGGGAGGGGCTAGCCTCCCACCTGGAAGGAAGTCCACTGTCCTGGGAGATGACACCCAAGAGAACACACGAGGGACACCTGCTATGGGGCGGCATGAAAGCTGGTGGGAGTGGACCTGTGCAGGACCTTCCAGCGACACACTCGGTTCCATCACAGGAGGGATGTCTGCAGGACAAGAAGGCCCTGGCACAGAGAGCAGGCTGACACAGGAAAGACCTGCACTTGGAAACAGGCCCTTTTGCACAATTTTACACAATCTTTCAGTTCCATAGTCAGGGTTCTGCTGAAGGACACACCCCTAAGTAAGCAATCCTGGGCTGACCTCTCCCATCTTCACTGTCCTGGGACATGGGTGGGGTTGCAAGACCTTTGCCACCATGCTCTTTGCCCCCATTTCACCACCACTTGGGGGTCCCCCTCGGGCTCTCTTTTCAATACCCTTTTTAAACCATTGCCTCTTAACGATGTCCTTTCTATATATTTTTCTTATATTTCACACAGTCACAGTTTTTTTTTACTTGTCAAGGCGATAGACTTCATATATGATCAGCAAATACTGTATACCCCTCAGCCGTGTCCCCAGCCTTGATTTTTCTTGGCAGTTGGAGACAAGAGTCTCATTACGTTGTCCAGCAGGACCTTGAACTCAGTGTAGCCTAGGCAGTCCTTGAATTTGCATCTCCTTGTCTTAGCCTTACCATGACTTTGTTTTGAGAACCAGGCTTGGTGACACATACCTATAATCCTAGCAGCTGGGAGGCAGGAAGAGCAGAAGTTCAAGGCCAGCCTGGGGTTCTAAAGACAGCCTGAGCCGCAGAGTGAGCATGGGAGAGCCTGAGTGCACACTCGGTTTTTAACCTGGCAGTTCACACCCTAAAAGCTTGAGTATTGGATGCTCTGTGGGTGTGATGGCTCCCCACCCTTCCTCAGGGAAGCTGAGAAATCCCGACTGCCAGGATCCCAGTGCAGAGTACTGCAGGTACCCTTCCAGGGCCAGCACCCCTCCCCACCCCCATCCCGCCCTGTTTCTCCACCTGTGATGGCGAATCCAGTCAGCCCACAGCGGTAGTGGTTGTGCTGTGTCTGCCGTGGCCCTCAATGTCGCGTCTCTTTCAGCTGAAGATGATTCTCATAAAATGCTGTGATATCTCCAACGAAGTCCGTCCCATGGAGGTGGCAGAACCATGGGTGGATTGTTTACTGGAAGAATATTTCATGCAGGTAAGAGATACCGAGCCATCAAATCATGAGCACTCCTTCCAGCTCCGTGGGCGGGGCTGCATTGGAAAGAGCAGACCAGGGTGATTGACATCCATGCACACCCCAGCAGCCTCCACATTACTGTCTGTGTAGACATACAGCAGAAACGACATAGGCTGTGTTATAGATGTGAGACAATGACCACCAAGGGAGAAAAACACTGTGGTGAAACTGCCACCCATTGCCACTCACAGAGCCACTGTTAGAGGCAGACTCAAGAATAGCCATGAATCAAGAAGCAAGACCTGAGGGGAGGGGGACTCTGTTGAGGGGCGAGGGCAAGCAAGATGGTTCGTAGGATAGCTACCTGGAGACGCGGGCATAAAATAATGCAGACAGTAGCTGTCAAGTTGAGCCTTGTAAACTGCCCTGTCACGTCCTTGAGACACTGAGCCTGTCTCTAGACTTGGTCCCTATGATGCCAGTGTGCTCACCTCGCCTTGGCTCGTGTGTAGCCGTTCACCGCAGGCCCTGTGTCCTCACCATTGTACTGCTTTTCTGTGTGACCATGAGGATCCCAGCTGGGCAGCATGTCCTGTTCTTCCTCTAAGAACAGGGCTGCTCTGTGTACCCGAATCCGCGGGCCTTTGTGCCTTTAATGCCATTGTCACTGTGTTCCCTGCAGAGCGACCGTGAGAAGTCAGAAGGCCTTCCTGTGGCCCCATTCATGGACAGGGACAAAGTGACCAAAGCAACAGCCCAAATTGGGTTCATCAAGTTTGTCCTGATCCCAATGTTTGAAACAGTGACCAAGGTGAGAGATTGTGCGGGCGGTACAGCAGCAGTGAACACACGTGTGCACACATGCATGCATGTACATTTCGGGGATATGCATTGTGTATACACATGCATACACATGCACACACATGAATCCTCTACAGCTTCATCTGCTGTCATGGTGATGGTTGCCTGGCAGCCATTCCTTCTGCTGTGTCCAGTGCCACCCCCTCTGGTGCTCTTCAAAGAGCCCCATGTGTGATTGCCAGGCCCTCTGTGCCCACTTTGTCCCTGCCTATCTCTGCCAGCGTTAAGACCCAGCCAGTTGTACCAGCTGTTGGCTCTCCTGTCCTTCTAGGCTTCTTAAAGGAGCACCTGGGGGGCTGGAGAGATGGCTCAGTGGTTAAGAGTACTGACTGCTCTTCCAGAGGACCCGGGTTCAATTCCCAGCACCCACATGGCAGCTCACAACTGTCTGAAGATCCAGTTGCAGGGAGTCTGACACCTTCACACCAATGCATATAAAATAAAGTTAAATAAACCATAAAAAAAATTTAAAAAAAAAAAGGAGCACCTGGAATTGGCACCCATGGGCTGGGGAACCCTCAAAGCCTAGTCTTCTTCTAACTCTGCGCCTCTACCTCCCACGCCCCAGAGCTGCCTAAGGCCACCACTTCCATCCCCAAGTCCCAAACACACACTCCTCTCTAGCCAACCCATTTGCTCCACCCCACCTCCTGGCCATCGTTCTCTGGGTAGCTCACAGCCACCTGTATCCTTTTCATTCTGTGACCACCACCAGGGATTTCATCAGATCTGTCCCCTGCCTAAGACCTTCTGAGGCCATCCCTACCCTTGTCTTACTGGAAGGATGGGGACAGGAGAAGTTAGTAGGCTTTCTGGGGTCCTCTGAGGAGTGACAAGAGTGGAAGTCTGTGCCAGAGACAGAAATGGGGGATGGGTGGGGCTGCGCCAGGGTCTCTAGGACTTGAAACTGGCCGGGAGATTTACACTCCATTTCCTCGGGTTTCTCTGAAGGCCTTGATATGAGGCCACTGGGAAGTGAGATCCCTGGGACTCACAGGTACCCCAAGGGCCTGACAATTCCCCTCCAGTGTTCTTTGCCATCTAATAATGGTGGACTGACCCCGGACTCTTTGCTCCCCAGCTCTTTCCCATTGTTGAGGAGACCATGCTACGGCCACTCTGGGAGTCTCGAGAACACTATGAGGAGCTGAAGCAGCTGGATGACGCCATGAAGGAGGTAAACAAAGGCAGTGCAGAGGACACAGGCAGGCGAGTCAGGGACTGGCGGCCAGGCAGGACAAAGGGTGGGCACAAGAGCCAAGCTCATTGAGACAAGGGGTCCAGATGCTGTGCTCTCGAATGGTAGAATCTCTTCCCAGGGACTGTGGTGGGCTGTGCTTTCCCCGGAGTCTGCTGACAGATGAGAACCAGCATGCAGCTGTGTGAGCCTGGAGATACACCGTGCATCACCACCTCTGCCGTGTGTCTGAGCACCTCCCTGGCCCCTGTCCTCCTCCAGGCCAGGGTGCCTGTTCAGTGAGGGCTGCCCTGAAAAAGACATGAGACCAAAGCGAGGACCGAAGTCCCTGCTTTGAGACACAGAGCACACGGGGCAACTTGTCTACTCTTGTGGTCCAGGAGGTGGAGAGGTTTTAGGGCGCTGGGGATGCTGGATCTCAGGAGAGGGTAGGAGCCTCTGCAGTCTTGATCCCCATGAGCAGTTCTGCTTTGCTGGAGCCCCTGTGTGAAGATCTGTTTTTTCAGAGATGCTGGTACTAAGGACTCAATCTTTGTCACCTGCCTGACGTGACTGTCGGGTACAGTCTTTCTCTGCCCACAGCACCCCCTGCTCCTACCAAGACACCCATGTACCCAGAAAAGTTTCCTCATTCCTTATACCTTACAGACATCTCCTTGGCCACTGTGCCTTCACCACCCAACCTCCGATGCCCCTCGTGCCCTCATTTCCGACTCTGTACCCATCCATCCAAGCTCCCCAGTAACAGAGGGCTCTGTATCCATCTTTTCTGCCTTTATGCCCAGGTGTGGTCTGGTATTGGTCACATCTCCCTCAGCCACATCTGCCATGCACACCCCCCAGTGTACAGTGCCAGGCATATCACAGACACATGGTGAAAACATATAGGTTGACTGAAAGCACAGACCAGCAGTCCTGATCCCCCTGCCGGGAAGCCTCAAGGGGTCGGCTCTGTAAATCTAAAGGCTAAGAGGAAAACTGTGCACACCAAAGGTTGTTTGTTCCCCGTCCAGACTCTGCTTGGAAGGCTGCAGGAACCTCTGCCACCATGGCCATCCCATCAGCCAATGCTCGTGGGAACCTGAGTCTGGAATCATATGTTTCACTGCCCAGTGGGAATGCCAGGCTCTCCAAGATGCCATCCTGGCCCTGGAGAAGGAGGCATGAGAAAGAAGTGACCGCACTGAGCCTGAAACAGGAACTCGGCCCCCAGGCCTGGGGCTGTGGGCTGTGGCCAGCTTGACCCAGACATTCCTGGCCAGGATGCTGTCGTGGGTTGTGAACAGGTCACAAGCACCCAGGCTGTCTCTGGAAAATCTGAAAAGCATATGTGTGTGGGGGCAGCCATCTGAGTGTCTTCAGGCAGTGGACACCTCCTGAGACAAGAGGCTGCCTGCACTGGCCCTCTGCCTCCAGGTCTGACTCTGGCCCTTGCTTCCTTAGTTACAGAAGAAGACAGAAAGCTTGACAACTGGGGGCACAGAAAACACCACAGAGAAGAACAGAGATAAGAAAAACAGTGGAGGACAATCACCTCCAAACTGACGTCTCAATGTGTACGGTAAGTGGACGGGCTCTGAAGTGTTATACGTGGGGAGGGCAAAGTGCACATGAGTGTGAGCGTGTGTGTGTGTGTGAGAGAGAGAGTGTGTGTGTGTGAGAGAGAGGGAGAGAGAGAGAGAGAGTGTGTGTGTGTGAGAGAGAGAGAGTGTGTGTGTGAGAGAGAGAGAGAGAGAAAGAGAGCGTGTGAGAGAGAGAGAGTGTGTGTGGAGAGAGACAGAATGTATGTGTGTGTGTGTGTGTGAGAGAGAGAGAGAGAGAGAGCGTGTGTGTGTGTGAGAGAGAGAGAGAGAGCGTGTGTGTGTGTGAGAGAGAGAGAGAGATAATGTGTGTGTGTGTGTGAGAGAGAGAGAGAGAGACAGAGACAGAGACAGAGACAGAGAATGTATGTGTGTTTGATCTCCCGCCCTCTTCTTATAAAGCACCAGAAAGTCAGTCACGGGATGTCCACCCTGATGCCTTTGTCTATCCTCTGATTGCCTCCCACAGCCTCTCCCCAAACAGTACAGTCGGGTGTTTTCACCTTTCACCTCACAGTGGGGATTGCACATCAGTGCCCGAACCCCCAGACGCTTACAAACCCTCATTTGCTGTTGCATTTACAGGAGAGCGGCGTCAAACCAGGCACGCAGCCTGCTTTCCAGTACGTGCAGCTGTAATCCTGCATATCCTAATTAGAATCTGGGCTCTGATTTGGAAAGGTTCACACTTGGGTTATAGAAAGGATTAATTATTAGAATGTGTGCCACTCATGAGATGAGATATTCTGTGAAGTGCATCTGGAGTGCTAGAAGCTTTTAAAAAGCATTTGCCCCTTACCCTACCCCCCCTCCATCACCACAAGCATGTCTTCTGACGCCCGCACAGCCACTCAGCCAGCACAGCTACAGCACAGGCTTGGGTGCAGGCTAACCTCCAACTAAGCACGTGGCTGTTGAGTGGCTGTCATGTGAGCTGAGGGTTTATGCATGGAGCTGAAGAGGCTGAGTTTGAGGGGAAACAAAAGATGTCATCCCAAGACATGCCTTCACTAAACCTTTGCAAGTGACGGCCATGCGTCCCCACCTCTGTGAACCCCAGGCCTCTCGTATGTAAGCGCAAGGCCACAGTGTCATTGCTTGGATTTGAGCAGTTGTGTGAACTGCTGTTCCATACTGAGGCATCCAGTGAACCTTGAAGCCAGGTCATGTTCTTGAGAAGAAAATGGCACTGATATTGTCTAATTTGGGCTACATGTGTTATGTGGCTGACAACCTCATTCTCTCTCTCTCTCCTTTTTTTTTTATTTACTCTATTTGTGTGTATATGTGTTTTCCTGCATGAGTATGTGGATCACATGTGTGCTGGAGTCCGTGGAAGCCAGAAGAGGATGTCAGATGCTCTGGAACTGGAGTTACAGATGGTTGTGAGCCTCTATGTGGGTACCGGAGACCGAACTCGTGTCCTCTGTAAGAGCAGCCAGTGTTCCTAAGAGCAGCTAGTGAGCCCTCTCTACAGCCTCAACCTCATTCTTCTATCTATCTATCTATCTATCTATTTATTTATTTTTGGTTTTTCAAGACAGGATTTCTCTGTAGCTTTGGAGCCTGTCCTGGAATTAGCTCTTGTAGACCAGGCTGGCCTCAAACTCACAGAGATCCGCCTGTCTCTGCCTCCCGAGTGCTGGGATTAAAGGCGTGCGCCACCACCACCTGGCCTCATTCTTTTATATTTATTAAATTTTCATATTAGTATACAAAGCAGTGGTTTTCATCCTAGTGTCTTCACGCATATCTGTTACTATCGCTTCTCATCCATTCCTGCCCTTCCCTGCATCCACTTGTCCTTTCAGGCTTGGTCCCTTTCATTCCCCAGTTAGTACCGCCTTTGTGTGTGTGTGTGTGTGTGTGTGTGTGTGTGTGTGTGTGTGTGTGACTGTGAGTATGTGTGTGTGTGACTGTGTGTGACTGTGTGAGAGTGTGTGTGTAACTGTGTAAGTGAGTATGTGAGAGTGTATGTATGTGCGTGAGTGTGTGTGTTTACCTACTTGTGTGTCTATGCAACACTGGTATATCTGGTGCCTGTGGTGGTCAGAAGAGGGCATCAGATCATTTGGAACTAGACTTATAAACAGCTGTGAACCACCATGTTGGATACTGGAAATTGAACCTCTGGAAGAGCAGCTGGTGCTCTTAACCATTGAATTACCTCTCCAGCCCTACTTCTGCTTTAACATAAAAAAGTTTTGTTTTAAATTTTTAATTATATATATATGTGGGGGGGAGTATGTACATATATGTGGGTATGTGCACTTGAGTGCAGGTGCCGTAGAGAACAGAAGAGGGCGCTGGATACACTGGAGCTGGAGTTACAGGCGGTTGTGGATCCTGGGATTCGAACTTGGATCCTCTGCGAGAGCAGTGCTGGCTCCACCACTCCCCAGCCCAGGTCTTTCTGCTTTCTGGTCCCATGCATCCTGTTACCATCTCAACTTCCCACTGGGATCTGTGACTGTGCCATCTCCAGTGCTCACGGAGACAACATGCCATCTTCCTCTTTTTCCAGCAGACTGGACTAGTTAAAGCAACCAAACCATGGCCTCTGAGTGGACAAGGATGGGGAACCTCACAGGATCCTCCACGCAAGGACGATCACACCCGGACGACCCCAGATGACCTGCGACAGACCACATTTTCTAAGAACCGTTTTGTTCACTGATATAAAAACAGGAATTCATGATGCTGTACAGAATTTTTATTTTTAAACTGTCTTTTAAATAATATATTCTTATACAGAAATGGGTCTGTACTTTTTCTTTGGGTTTTGCATTCGGGCCTCCAAGGACTCTGGTTTTCCCTGGGATGTATCTTCAAATGGTTGAGCAGTAATGTGACCCCAGGGTTCATGTAAATTCCACATTAAACATGAGAATGGTGCCCGAGTGCAGGAGCGTGCATGTGTCCTGTGTTTATGAACAGAGCGGGGTGGGGGAACACTTGGGGACATGCGCGTGGCAAAGGGAAGTCATCAGTGGTGTGTACAGGAGCTGGGAATGAGGCAGGCTAGGGGACCAGGCATTCAGTGGGAGGCAGATGCCCTCCTGACCACTGGGACAGGGAACTGGGATTTTCCATTCAAATTGTCAGTGTGTTTAAGGAACTCTGTCCCCAAAGAAGAGATGCCCTGTCCTTCATTTTTGGAGGACAGGCAATGTGTATATCCCAGGTGTCATGGTAACGGCCCCCACAACACCCTTCATATCCTCTCATGCGCCTGGGCTCTGAAATCTTGACTTACTGTCAGGGTTTTAATTCTTTTTTTGGTTTGATTTGGTTTTCTGAGACAGACTTTCTTCTTTGTATAGCCCTGGCTGTCCTGGAACTCGCTCTGAAGACCAGGCTGGCCTCCGAATTCTCAATTTACAAGAAACACAGAGAAGCTGCTGGCCATCTCCCTAGGGCTACTCCCCTGAAGGGACGGAGTAGGTGCTCCACTGTTGGGTCTCTCTCTCTCTCTCTCTCTCTCTCTCTCTCTCTCTCTCTCTGTGTGTGTGTGTGTGTGTGTGTGTGTGTGTGTGTGTGTGTGTGTCTTCCTCACCTCAAACTTTTCTATGTAGCCCAGACTGGCCTTTGAATTTACAGCCCCCTGTAGTAGGAGGCCACTTGATCGTTTCCCAACTGCCCAGACTCCCTAAATAATCACATAGAAACTGTATTAATTAAATCACTGCTTAGCTCATTAGCTCTAGCTTCTTATTGGCTAACCTTTACATCTTAATTTAACCCATCTCCATTAATGTGTGTATCACCACAAGGCTGTGGCTTACCTGGTAAAGTTCCGGCATCTGTCTCCAGTGAGGCTACATGGCTTCTCAAACTCTACCTTCTTTCTCCCAGCATTCAGTTTAGTTCCCCCCCTCCCCGCTCTACCCAATCACAGGCCCAAGACAGTGTCTTTATTAACCAGTGGTATTCACAGCGTACAGAGGGGACTACCATGCCAGCCCCCACCCCACCTCTCAGGCTCACCACCACACCAACTACTTCTGTCCCATTTTGACCTCCTCAGCACGGTGTTCACTTCTACACCTCTTTCTGGTTTTGTCACCTTAACATACTGTCAGAATACAGCCAAACCTCAGAGGCGCCCTGTTGGTGTTGTGCCTCTGCCCTCTGTCGCCCTACAGGACAGGATGGTCACCTGCCACACTGGCTGGAAAAAGACCCTCCAATGATGATTTCCATCTGACCTTCCCATCTCAATATCAAGGGCTCCCCCCACCCCTTACAACCCACTGGGATCCTGCATTCTGAGCCCTGAGATTTCTGCACTAGAAGACCCCTGAGCCCTCATTTCCGGTCAGCCTCAGTGACTCCTGGTGTCAGCAGCTGGAGATGGATGGAGTAGGGGAAGGGACCCACATCTGAGTAAGTGGCCAGCTGGGAAGTGGACTGGCCAAGACTCTGCTGTGGTGGGGAGAAGGCAGAAGGCTGGTGGACTCAGACATCAGCCTGGGCACAGGACCACCTGTACGTGGAGGGACATTAGGACTTAGGAGTCCCCTGAGACCTCAGAGCCACTCGCCTAGCCTGAGGAGCAGAGACTGGAGACTTAGTTGTAGTCACCTGGGGGGGGCCTTCTAGTGACTTCTAACCTGCCAGCGGTACCTGAGAGGTTTACTTCTCAGCACTCACGCTCTCAGGCCACAGCTAACAAACAGTACTGAGTGTTCTCCCAGCAGCACCAGGCTCTTAGATGACAACGGAGCTCTCTCTGACTTGCCCTGTCACCGCTCAGAGAAATTAACATCCAGTTTGTTGGGTGCAGCCCTCTGGCTACCCTTCCCGCAGTCTTTGGTCATGCCCTCTGGCTTCCCATCATGCCTTATGAAGGAGACCGACCCTTATCCCTTAATTTGCATATTGTGGCTAGCCCATAAATGCCTTTTGTTTTGTTTGTTTTTGTTTTTTGAGACAGGTTTTCTCTGTGTTGCCCTGGCTACCCTGAAAGACCAGACTGGCCTCTGCCTCCCAAGTGCAGTGATTAAAGGCATGCTCCACCTGGAGGGGTGTGTGTTGGGGGCGGGGGTCAGTGCCTTTTCAAATTTTTATTTGTTATCTGGAAAGCTTTTTATTTGCTAACTGTCCGTATAGCTTTCCCATTCTGTGAAAGCAAACCTTTGCTCATTTTCCTCTTGGGACCCTCTTTATCGGTCACAGATGTTCTTTTTATTTTCTGAGCTCTGAACCCTGTGGTTATTATATATTTTCATAATCGGTGGTCTGGGATACTGTGGTGCCCTGAACACGGCACTTAGAGGCCATGGGTGTGGAGCCCAAAGACTGAGGCTAGTGCCCTGGCAGAAGGGACCCAGAGATCTGCTCATTCTTCCCTAAAGAACTTGCTGGCCCAGACCATGCAGATCTCTGGCTTCCTGACTGGGAGCTGGGAGGAGCCCTGTCTGTTGTGTGCTGTCCCCACATGTTGTGTAGGGGCGGTGAGCGCTAGCTAAGGGGTACAGGATTGCTTCCTTCACCTTCCCACCTCTGCTCCTCTCACTCCCTGCGGCTGCAGCCCCCTTCCCCACCCTGAAAATGCTCTCCCACAATTCCAGACTCAATTTCATCCTTCAAGGCTCCAGATGACAATTCCACCTAAGCTTTTCTGGCTGGCTCCAAACAACCGCTCCCCTGGGCTGCTTCTGCCTCCATCTCTTCTTTCCTCCCTCTCTCTGTCTCTCTCCCAGGTCTCATCCTCTGCATTCTGGAACTGGAACTCAGTGCCACGTGGATAACCCGGGACACCCCCATCATAAGGTCCTAGCCTGGATCTCCTCACACCATCTCCTGGGCTGGGTAAACTGAATGAGTGTATCGGAGGGCAGTGGTCATCACCACCAGGGGGTGTTCTGTTCGAAATCTGCTAAATACTTGTTGTCCAACCCTTCCTGACCATTCTTGGAAACTTTGACCCAGCCCCATCCCACCTCACTGGTCCCCTCTCCCCTTCCAGGTTTTATAGTTCTTCCTTACACTCTAAGGTGACCAGCCACCCCTTATCCCAGGGCTGAGGTCAGAGATTTTTACTGCCCATGCTGTCAATCACAGCCCTCCTGAAGGCCTCATACTACCAACATCACCGATTGGTCCACTCACCGTTGCTGCTGCTCCCCTAGAAGTGGACCCACCCATGAACGCTGTGTGTGGGCAGCTGAAGCTGCACCCTGGGACTTCCTTAGACATACTAGGTCTCATTGCCATGCCTTAAAGATATGCCAAGTTAGCCAGGTCACTGGGCAAGGGTCCTAACTGGGCTCCTTCCTCCAGTCTTTGAAGCTGCTTTGTGACCACGTCTCAGAGTCAGCCAGGAACTCCAGGCCCAGACCCCACAGCTGACTGCAGAGGCCAGCTGCCCCACACAATCTCTCCTGGACACACAAGATGTGGGGCCCCCATCACAGTGTGACATCTTGATTGTGGGTGATCTAAATTGCTCATGAAAGCAGGTGCACTGCAAAAACAACTTCCCAGGAAACTGAGAAGCACTTGGGAGGCAGAAGCAGGTGGATCTCTGTGTTTGAGGCCACTCAACAGAGTGAGTTCCAGGACAGCCAGGGCTATGCAGAGAAATCATGTCCTGAGATAGATGGATAGATAGATAGATAGATAGATAGATAGATAGATAGATAGATAGATAGACAGACAGACAGACAGACAGACAGACAGGCAAACACTACTTCAGGGCTGATTTTAATGGGTAAGACTTTCTAGGTGCTCAATAAACATCAGCTGAATGAATGAATGAATGAGATTGGTCACCCACACAATCACATAAGAAGCAAAAATCCCAATGCAAATCTTGAGGGGAAGAAGGGACTGTTCCTATAGGTAGGTATCAAACATACACATGGGTGCACATGTATGGACCATGCTCCTGGGCGTGCATGCACACATCAGCCCGCCGGCCTTGCTCCCAGCTGATAAGGAAGCTAAGAGAGGAATGATGTCCAGCATTCAGCCATTTTATAGACCTGGCAGCCAACAAAGTGAAAATAAAGGTGGTTTGGGCTTCCTTCAGGAACAAGGGGATGGGTTCTGCGGGGGAGGGGGAGGCAGTAGAGACAAACAGCGAGGCGAGGCTGAACGAAAGCTTTGTGCAATAGCTGATGAAGATTTGTGGTAATGAGAATTCAAGGCTTTCTGTTTGGGTTTCTCTCTCTCTCTCTCTCTCTCTCTCCCTCCCTCCCTCTCTCTCTCTCTCTTTAAAATGATTTAACAACAAAATCCGGAATGCACCAGGTGTGCCAGTGAGCAGGCAGAAGGGGGATGTGCTGAGCAGCAGCTGACGGCTGACTAGCCTGTGGATGGAGCTGGCTGCAGCCCCAGGTTAGTGTGCGGGGACCCCTGTCACCAGTGGATGTCCAGCCCTGCAGCGCTAAGGAGGAATGACGCACTAGAGACAGACAGACAGACAGCTCCATCTGATGAAGCTGCTGCTTGCAGGGGAGACAGAGTTCTGAGCAGAGTGTGCCAGCTGAGGAGAAGCCAGGCAGGATGTTATGTGTACCACCCACCTACTGCCTGCAGACAGGTTACTGTCCGTACCAGCAGGCTTCCAGGGCGAGAGCGTCCTTGGCTCCGCTCTGACTCCCACTGCACCGCTCAGACCTGTGAGCTGGGCAAACTCTGCCTCAGGGCTCTGCCCCAGGGCAGAGGGTGACTAAGATGCCACCTGCTCTACAAAGCCTGATAGGGCTGGGCTTGACCCTTCTCCCACGGTGTGGGGCACTCATCTCTCTCTGTGTCCTACCCTGTGGGGACAGATGACCACATGCAATGGGGACTCAAGTCAGCAGAAAAGAACTCTCTCTATTCAGAGGCTTCTGAAGTTCAGGACCGGGGTCCGCCGTCTACAGGGCCTGCTCCCTGGGGAGGTTTCATT